AAAGTTACTTTTTAAACAAAGTTAATCATATATATTTTCTTGGCCAACATCATTAATGTTATTTTATTGTTAATGTTATATTATAGTAATTTTTTAACTGACGTTAGTAAGGATTTTCTTAGTCAACATAATAATGTTGTTTCTATTGATGTCATATTTTTTTTTCTAACTTATGTCAAGATGTTATTTTCAGTTTATTCTAATCAATATCAGTAGTTATTTTTAGATTATGTAAGTCAGAACTTATATATATATATATATATATATATATATATATATANGACTCCACAAACTTTTTATAGAACACATCTAGGTTCTCTTCCTCAGACACAAAAACCCCATCAAGGGTGAAATCTCGGTACCCAAAATCAGCTCGAACCCGGATAGAACTCGAGTTGGAACTGGTTTGAAGAACAGATAAAGGCTTATCCTTTCGATCTGGGTAGTCACAGATTTTGGCAACTACTTCAATTGGGTGTTCAGGAGGGGGTTCCTTGTTTGCAGCACAATTTGGGTTGGGAGAAGGGTGCATTTACAGTGCTGATTTGGGGCCATGGAAATTGAGACGGTGCTTGGACTGTGGAGTCTTCATCTGGGTGGGGTAGTTTTATTTGGAAGAAGGGGTTGGAGCCATAATGGAAAATTTGACTGTGAGAAATAAAGATTGAACTGAGAAGAAAGAATTGAGAAGAAGAAGAAATTGGCGCCGGAGACAGAGAAGAAGCTGGAGACCCAAGACCATAAAGAATTTACTTTCCCACGTGGAATTGTTGATTCTAGAACACATAACCCATTAATTTAATATATAATACCACGCAATTTTAAAAAAAATACAGTTCAACATCTTTTAACGCCGTTTGTCAAAACTTAACGGAGGGGACAAAATTGACTCAATTTTACAAGTATATGGGACCCAATTTTGACAGTTTAAAAAGCGATGACTCACTTGAGATTCACCAACAAATATGAAGACCAAAAGAGGGTTTAAACCTTGTTTAAAATCCTTAAATTGAGGCAATTCCAACTTAAAAATCTTTTCTTCATTCCATTTTCCATTCCCAGCCATTGGTAGTCCATTCACCACACTCTCTTATTGTTTTATCCCTAGTAATTGAGTTTCCATTTATTATAGGAAACTTTCTGTATAAAGGTGATGATCCCACCCATATATCTTCCTAAAATATAATCTTAGAACCTGAACCTATTTTCCACTCTAAGTTTTGGTCAAACGATTTTCCTTCCCCTTACCACATACATCACATAAGTTCTTCCACCACCTTAATGTGTAATGTTTTCTATTGTGTCCTCTTAGGCCTCTCCAAGACCCATATTTTGATTGTAAGATATCCTTCCATAATCCTTGTTTACCCGTGCCTAATCTCCACTTCCATTTAGCTAAAAGAGCTTTGTTGAACACTTATTAGGGCTTTATAAAATGAATAGTAAAGGGACAAGGTTGTGATTATTGATTTTATTAAGCATATTTATCCTGAAAAAGATAAATATTTGTCTTTCCATTTGACAATTTATTTTTAATTTTTATAATCACTGGTTGACAAAAAATTGCTTTGTTAAGTTATCTTCTACAACCATACCTAGATATTTGGAAGGTACTTCCATTGTATTACAATTTAAAATATGTGAGTATCGCATTAAATCACTTTTATCCATCTCCAAAGCTCCAATTTTGCTTTTATGAAAATTAGCATTAATCATTTGTGTTAATTGATTAGCACTGAACGATTATCATATGAGATAATCGATTATTACTAAATGTGTTTTACTCTTCTTACATTTTTAAACACTAATGATACAATAAATCAAAAACTACTTAAAACTTAAATCCTATACAATAAATTTAGATTTATTACAAAAGCTTTACGTAGAAAATTACAAGTTGTGGTGAATTCTTGGACTTATTTTCATCAGCATCCTTGTTTTAATATCATCAAACTACTTAATATCATCTTTCACAACTTCCTTAAATATCTTTGGATCTTCTTTCCAGTTACCTTGTATTTCCAACCCTTTAATAGATTAGTGAAAAAATTTAGAGTTATTATCCCCTTGTTTGATCCATTTTATTACACCAAAATCTGCATCTATCATAAGACCGGTATTGGCTTGCTCCTTATTTGAACTTCTACTGTCGTTGTGTATCTAAGTCCTTCCATGATGTCATCACATTTTCCTTTTCTTATTTAATGAGATTTATTGGCTTTGTTCTTGAGACATTTTTCTTTCCTGTGTCTTTACTTTTTGCACTCATAACAAATGATTTTTCATTATTCTGTTTTGTCTTTCTTGTATATTGTCTCCTTCCATTTGGAGGACTTCTTCAATGTCTTTCTCCTTTTTGAGTAAATTGTTGAACTTTTTCAGACATTGTAACTACTTCAGGATTTGTTGAAGGGTTAAAAGCTTTTCTTCCTTTAAATCTTGAGATTTAGTAACTTCAAACTTTAATTCTTTTCTACCTTTTTTTCACCTTTATATCTTGTCTCTTTGACTCTAGTGAAATTCTTACTCAAGAATTATTGAGAATATTTACTTAATATTTTTTTTATTTAAATTAGTTTTTAAGAAATATTTTAGCCTTAAAAATATCTTTCAGTTTTAGAAATTAGTTATTATTTAGATTTAGGAAATCAAGATTGACATATTTAGGAAATCAAGATTGACATATTTAGGAAATCAAGATTGACATATTGTAAATATTTAATATTTGATATTATGTTACATTTTTCTCTTATATATAAAGAATACATGAATAAAATAAAATAATAATTTTTTTCATTCAACATATCTCTTATATTTTTAATATGTCTCATATCTCTCATATTTCATATCTATAATATTTGCAAAACCCCTAAAACAATTCTTGAACAGTAACAACCACAACAAAAACACAACAATGTCATAACTATAACCACAAGGTGTAAGTAAGTCATCATACACTTAAGGAGAAATATATCATTTAAAAGGGACTCATCCTTAAGAAAAGATATAACTATGAATAATTCAAGTGAGTCTAAGTCCTATATTGAATAAAGATAACAAAGTTAAACATCATATAAGATAAAAAAAAAAGACCTCACAAATCCATTGTCTTTGAGTTTTTGAGTTAAAAGTGGTGTCAAATGTCTATTATGGGGGTAAGACTCATGTCACACATATATAATCAAACCCAATGAACTTTTTCAAAAGATAAAAATAAACCCTCTATATGAAATAGATCCATCAGTTATATAATAACACTCATGATGATGATAGAAAAAGAAATACAATAAAGAATATCATATTGAATGAAGTTATGATAAGAGAAAAACAAAAATTACAAGCACAAAAAGAAAAGAAAATCAAGTATAACAAAAAGAAGAATCAAATTTAAAGATTTAAAATTAAATAAGCAGATATTAAGCAAGGAAGGAAGAAGGTTGAAAATATTTACTTAATATCTTTTTTATTTACTTTAATTTTTAGAAAATATTGTAGTTTTAAAAATATCTTTCAATTAAAAATTATTTATTATTTAAATTTAAAACATCAAAATTGACATATTGTAAATATTTTGTATTTGATATTATGTTATATTTTGATCTACAAGCATAAAGTTTATCCATACAAAATATATCTCTCCTATTTCATATCTATTTGCAAAACCTCTCTCAAAAATTCTCAACAAGAATGGACCTTCTACTTGATCCATGATTAGTAAATACACTTCATGAACTTTTAGAATACTTAAAAAGTCATCCAAAGGAAGGTTTTTTCAATTATGTGTCTCTTTGTACAATAACAATCCAAGACTCTCAAATCTTAAGCAGCTATCCAAGATTTTAAAGTTGAATTATACCTTTAAAGAGTTTTAAAAGAAATTGAAACTTTGAGATTATTTGAAAGCGATTAAATTACTTAAAATGAAAAATTTTAAATTCCAATAAAAAGTAAGAATTTGAATTTTTTTATATTCTCAAATTTATATCTCTTCTCTTTGAATTTCATATATAGCTCGACTTTGATTAGAACAACATCAACTAAGGTTGAGACATTGTTAGTTTAATCGTTTTTTAATATTATGACCTCAACATTGTTTTTAATAAATTTCGGTGAAAGTTACTTTTTAAACAAAGTTAATCATATATATTTTCTTGGCCAACATCATTAATGTTATTTTATTGTTAATGTTATATTATAGTAATTTTTTAACTGACGTTAGTAAGGATTTTCTTAGTCAACATAATAATGTTGTTTCTATTGATGTCATATTTTTTTTTCTAACTTATGTCAAGATGTTATTTTCAGTTTATTCTAATCAATATCAGTAGTTATTTTTAGATTATGTAAGTCAGAACTTATATATATATATATATATATATATAAATGTTAGTTAAGATTTTAACATTAAGATTGTGTAGACTAGATTCTTTTTATTGATATTATATAAAAAAAATATTTTTGATTAAAAAAGAGATTCATATATAAGATGAGTGAAAATTTAATGAAAAAATTTGATGGGTTGTGTATTTAAAATTTTCATATACAAAAGGTAAATTTTATTATAATCTTTTAACAAAGAAGACTACATATCACCTTAAGTTGGCTCATCTTAATCAATTGAGGCAATAACTATCTAAATGAAATAATAATTGAATTATTAATAGCTTGGATTAATTAAATCTCATTGGACCTTTATTTAATTAAACTAGTGGTGCATCTGATTAAAAGTGTAACTCAACAACTATTAAACTAGGTGCTACCTTTTATTTTTGAACTTGATGCACCTAACATAATTTGAATTATTGTAGTATTTTTTACGTTCTTAATTTAGTTTCTATTTTTCCATTAATATTTCTGAGAACCTAAGGAAAAATATATAAATATATGTGTAATGTAAAACTTTACCTCTTCCAAATGTTATATAAAAAATTTATATTTAAAAATAAATTAAAGTTAGTAATATATATATATATATATATATATATATATATATATATATATACGGACGTCTATATTAGTTTAATTTTTTTTAAATGTAATTAAATTCAAATTGAATCAATTATAAGTTTCTTGAAAAATTTTATAAAGTTAACTGATTTAAATCTCACTTATGTCAACCTCCATCCAACTTATTTTACAAATATATTAAGGGACATTTACTTAATAGAGTGTTAATTTAAATTACAACTATTTGATTTTAAGTTTGGATATTTTTCTCTCTTTCTTATAATGAATTTTGATGTTCACTCCTCAACTATTTTTTTATAATCTAGTTTCTTATATTTTTAATCATTATGCTAATCTTTTTCTTCAGAGAAAAATTCAAACAGGTTCATTACTAAAATATAATGTTTTTTAATAGGTCTATACTGAGAGTTCATTCCAAGTATTTTGCAGCAAATCTAAAACTACCATTTCAATCTTTTTCTTTCTCCACAAATCATACACCATTGGCAACTCTCATTTCATATACCACACGCAAATAAATAAATTTAAAAAAAAAAAAAAAAAAAAAACTTCCCTGATCTTGAACATTTTTCAAGGGTCACCTTTATTGTTCATCATATACAGAACAAGTCCAGCGGCATGTCTTTTTAAGCCTCGTCACCATCACTCACGCAGACACGACTATCGATATAGAATTCAGTAGAGAACTCAACTTCATCAACTATCCTTCCTCTGTTGTATTCACACACACAATGACCCAAGTTAGTATAAACACCGTAACAAAAAAAAAAAGTGCAACTAAATTCCCTTAACCAATCAACAAAAGCCAATGCAAAAATATATATTAAAGATATATATTTTCTCCTTGATGCGAAATTAAAATTCGTTTTTTCAAAATTTTGATATATTTTGATATAAATTTTTAAAAATTCTAAAAATAAATGGATATAATATTTTTAACCCAATTACATAAAAACAAATTGATATGATAAATGTTTTTAAGACATTTTTATTTCAATGTTAACTCAAAATATATTTAACATGTCAAAAAAATTTAATATAATTAAATTAAAAGAATTATATCTATTAATTTTAAAGTTTGAAAATCAAAATGTATTAAAGTTTTAAACAAAAACTAATTATAATTTTTTGTAAAGGTCTAAAACCATTTTTAACTTATAAATTTACATGTTAGTACCTTTCAAGAACAAACTTCCCTTCTTTATACTTTTGACTCTTCTCGTGTGCAGATTCCTGAAAGAAAATAGTAAATGTTAAAAAGTTTTGTGACAAGCTAACAACCAGCTTGAACTAAACAATGACGGTTGATAGATAATATTATATATGCCATCAACCAATCACAAACAAAATGATTCAGTTTGTCGACTATTACAATCACTATCTCATATCAGCCATAATTTATAAGTAGATAACATTGTAAAATTCATTTTAGAGTGATGGTGTGTTGTCATGAAACTATCTCTATATGTATTAAAAATTCTGGGTCACTGATTCCTGATTACGTGAAATCCAGAGAGGGGAAGAGAAGAGTATTACGTATTTCCAGCCAATTATTTGACCACAACAACAGCAAAAGATATCTGCCACAGTATGCAATCCTGAAAGCATCATCCTTTCTTCTGGTGCTCCGAGTGTGAAGTTGACACTGGATCATAGTCCCGAAACATAAGCAAACACATCATCAGTATAGATTATTCAGGTCTAGCGGTATTTTCAACTAATAATGTCAAACTAAATATCCCCAAACTTTATTTATTTATAATGCAAACAGCAAGTAGGTTTATAAATTTCATCTGACCAAAGAGAGCAGGTTAGACATAAAGTTGTTAGTAAGAAAATAACATGTCAAATAAGAACACAGTAAAACAGTGCCAAATTATGCGTCTTCTCTGTCAAATTATTTTTGGCTGCTTGCCTTCTTCTATTGTATTCTTTTCTATAAATAACAAATATTACATTACAGTTCCAAATGACAATTAAATATAATTCCTGATCTGTATAAGCTAAAAACTGAAATATAATAATATGAACTATTAGGAAGATTCTATTCACTAAACAAAAGGAAACAATAATTATAATTGTTGAAATAAGTAATAAGTAGTGCATTTGGAATCAATTACCTTGTCTTGTACCAAGGAGTCTAGTACACTCTATGAGTTGTACACTCTATGAGTTGTACTTAGGAGTCTAGAATAGTCTTTGTCTAGAATAGTCTTTGTGATCTTCCCAATGTAAGAGTTTTCTATCATTGTATATGCTTAATACAAATTTTGGTCCCTAATTTTGTTAGTTATATTCAAAGTGGTCCTCCTATTTTTTTGAATTGTTTAGAGTGGTTCCATGTTTTGGTAAAATAGTTCAAGTTGGTCCTTTTTGCTGACGACATTAAAAATGCTAACGGTGTAATGTTTACTTTAGCCAATAGTTAATGACCTGTCTAGTTATTCATTATGTGGCAAGCTCAGGTCAATTGATGTGTAAATGTTAAATATTGACATGAAAAAGTTAAAGTTTAGGTTAAAGAAAATTACAATTAGGTTAGAAGCAATTCGCAAATTGGGATTGAAGAATCTAGTGAAATTGGTCTTCAAATTGGGTTTGTGGTTCGTTGAACTTGCAATTGGAAGATCGTAGGTAGGTAAGTGTTCTTAACCTGATGTTGTTCTTGTTGGTTTTAGGTGTTAGGGTTTAATTTGGTGTTGAATATTTTAATTTTGTTAAATGTATTATTTTGTTTTATTGGGTATGATTTTGGTGGTAAAAGTTTTGTAATTATGTGTTATTGATTGGTTAAATGTTGAATCTGTAGTTGTTTTGTAATTCGTTGTCGGTTTGGGTTTAAATATGATTAAAGTTGTTGCGTTTTGGAGGTTTAAGTATGGTAAAATTTGTCGCATTTTGGGGATTTATAATGGTCCCATAGGTGTTACTTTAAATTAATTTAGTGGTCCAATTTCCATTTGCAGGATAGGGATTGGGATGACTGACTAAAGGTTTGAGGTAGTGGTCCACCATGGTGGGACCTTGATAAAAGAGGTGCCCTTTAAGTATATAGATGAGGAGATAGCTTATTTGGACATTGACCCTGATAAATGGAGTTGTTTCTGAAATACTAGGTGTCCTTAAGGATGTGGGGTACCTTGAAGTAAAAGACTTATTTTACAATATACAAGATATTTTTTATAAGTTGTATCATCAGGTGCAATGAATATGATCAACGTGCAAAATATTTTGGGAAAGTTAACTTGTTTGTTGTACATGGCGTGGACGAGCAAAGGTTATAGAAAATGATGTCAATCAAATTCTTTATCTTTGTCAAGGACCTTTAGAGAGTGGTGAGGATAGTGAGGTTGGAGATTTGACGCATGTTGAGGATGGTGATGAAGGAAATGTGGAGGATGAAGTTGAAGTGCAAAAGGAGGTAAAGGAAGGAACAATTAACTGTGTGAAGTGGGGATGCACACAGAGGCTGAGGTGGACTTGCAGAATGATACTTAGTTAGTGACTGAGGGTGAGTTGGTCAGTGAGGTTGAGTTGCTGGAGACAGAGGGTGGAGTGGAGGTGGAGACAGATGGTGGAGTGGAGGTGAAGACAGAGCATGGAGTGGAGATGGAGACAGATGGTGGAATGGACAGTGAGGAAGAAGTTGAACTAGACAATGAGGATGAAGCACATATGGATCATCTTAGTGGTGACGAGTACGTGGAGGAGGTAGAAGATGTTGGTATTAGATTGGAGGTACAAGAGAGCGATGAAGAATATAAGGCTGGAGAGAGTGATATTGAACCAAAAGGACATGGTAGGGCTTGTTAGATGATGAATGGGATTTTGAATTCCTGTTAACTCCAGAAAACAGTGCAAGTGAGGAGGATGACAGGAGGATGACACTGAGGATAGACCAAGTCATTTTCCCTTTCCTGCATATGGAAAACAAAAGTCAATGACAGATTACAAATGACAAGTTGGGACTACATTTACAGATAAGGATGAGTTCAAGGAGACCATTAGAAGTTATGTTGTTCATGCTGGAAGAGCTCTAAATTTTGTGAAAAATGATAAACGTAGGGTAAGGGTGAGATGCATGGTGGCCAACGTAAGTGTCTATGAGTAGCTTACTTTGAGTTTTTGCCATCACACAAAATTTAGCAATTAATGAAAATAGTTGGTACCCATACTTGCATAAGGCAATTTAACATTAAAATGATGAATAGTAAGTGGTTGAGAGAGAAATTAGATAGGTCTTTACAAGACAATCCTAATTTAAGGGTGAATGAGATATGTTCTAAAGCATTAAAGAAATGGAATACCAATGTTTCAATTTCTAAAGCACAAAGGACAAAGTTAATGGTCTCTAGTCAACTTGAAGGTGACTTTAAAGAACAATTTAGAAGGATTTATGACTATGCACATAAGTTGTTGAGGTGTAACCCAAGGTCTATAGTTAAGGTTAAAGTAGACATTGATAATGGTGACCCAATCTTCCAAAGATTTTATGTTTGTCTGAAAGCTTGTAAGGATAGTTTTGTGAGTTGTAGGCCCATTATCGGTTTAGATGGGTATTTTTTAAAAGGTTAGTATAAGGGAGAGTTGCTTATTGCTGTTGCTAGGGATCCAAATGAGCAGATGTTACAACTAGCTTATGCAGTAATTGAAGTCGTGAACAATGACACTTGGATGTGGTTTTTACAGTTATTAGTTGAAGACCTTGGGGGTAATGAAGTGTGTGGGTCATGCACGTGGATGTCTGACCAGCAAAAGGTACATGTAGTACTTTGATTAGTTTTGACTTCATGCATTGTAATTGATTGATGTATGTCTGAATAGTAAATTGATGTGGATAAGGGTTGGTGCCAGCTATCTAGGAACTTTTGCCTGGGGCAGAACAAAGATTCTGCATGAGGCACCTGTATGCAAACTTTAGGAAAATGTTTTCTGGTTAGACATTGAAGAATCTAATGTGGAGGGCTGCCACAAGCACCTACCCCAGCTTGGGAGAGAGAAATGCTCAATATTAGAGAAGTCAATGTAGAAGCATATAAATACCTCATAACTATTTTCCCGAGGTACACTTTTTTCCTTACATGCACATTAACGAAACTCATGTATGGTAACCCATTTTCCTTACTTTTCCAGAAACAGGTATTGGTCAAGATCTCAGTTCACATGAGTGAAGCTTTCAATCGTTTTATTATTCATGCTAGAGGAAAATCCATTATCACCATATTGGAGGAAATCAGACTTTATCTCATGAAAGGATGGGCTACGAACAAAACCAATGTGGCATCTATGGATTTCTCTATTTGTCCAAAGATTAAAAAGAGACTTGGCAAGGAATCAAATTTATCAAGATATTGGATCCCAACGTAATCTCATTTATGTTTATATCCAATTCTCATTTATGTTCATGTCCATTTTTTATTAATGTTCATGTCCTTTATTTCTTTCAGCTGATATGCACAAAAGATGTTTGAGGTTAGACACGTTTCAGTAATTGGGAACAAGTTTACAATGGACCTGGACAGTGAATAATGTAGCTACAGGAAGTGGATGATCAGTGGCATCCCTTGTTGTCATGCAATTGCAGCAATAAACTACTCAAATGTAGACCCACAAAATTTTACTCCAAGTTGGTTCAGAAGATCATCCACATATGAAGAGGCATATGTCTCCATCATTTATCCTGTGAATGGCCACCTCCTATGGGAAACAACAAGCTTCCCAGATGTATTGCCACCATTTAAGAGGAAGTTCCTGTTCACAAAGAGCCAAAGCTCAATCTACAAGATTATCCAAAAGTACCCTGACACAAGAGCTCCCTGCCTTCTTATACCTAAATTGTTTCCTCATTCCTGCACCCATTACCCATTATAACCTATCATATTATATCCTATCATAATACTTGAAACCTTTACTATTTAGTGGAATCTTTTACAGTTGGTAAGCAGTATTAGATGTGGCCCAAGGTGAATAAGTATAAAACATAGTGTTTATTTTCTATTACTCTGTACAAGCCCTCCTTTGTGAAAATATTTCTGAACATATTCCAAAACTATTAGCCAACACCTGATTGGTGTCTAATAGATATCGTGTTGTGAAAAGTTTTTCAAGTTCCATTCAACCCTCTTTCAAACCATTTATTTCACCGAGAATAAGCTCTATTGTACACATTCTCTTCCATTGGTTTAAATTTATTAGAAATTTATATATTTTGTGTGTTCCACATCTTATTCATGAACTATCGATAATTGTGTAGTTTTAAATAAGTTTTAACTCAGAACCAGTAGAAAGTGTGGCTGCTGGTACTGGCACTCCTTTTTTAATTAAATAAGTTTTAACTCAGGACCGGTAGAAAGTGTGTGGCTGCTGGTACTGACACTCCTTTTTTTAAAATTATAACTAATGCAGTGCAATAGGTTGAAATGTGAGGGCTATTGACCCATGTACAGAAAAGGAGAGAAAAGTAGAACAGGTCTGTCAGCAGAGAGACCTGTTAATAGGTAATCGGCCACATGGATTTTCAAGCATTTTCAATGCCTTCAAACATGTACATGATTTTCCAATAAAAGGACAATACTAGAATTCAAAACATGAAAATTGCTCTAGTGGTTCAATTTTACCAAGCAATAAAACTATACAAGGTTTGAACTCACATAAAGACTTTGAAGGCTTTCAATGCCTTAAAACATGTTTTGCTAATCATATTACCCAGTTGAATTCTTTCAAAACATAAATTTAAAACTTATTTTGTAATGCCAAATTCTATGCAAAAAAAAAATAAAAAAATCTAAAAGATAGTGAAATTTGAATATGTTAAAATGTTGGAATTTATAATTTTGAAATGTTAATTAAGGCATAGACAAGTTTTCATATGATTCAATAAAAGTATAAGCCTCAGAGTCTTGCCATGATGATTATGATGATAACAAATAATACTATGTTTTGTTGTGTCTAACATTTTTATTTAGTGTGAAACAGGTGATATAAGTCTATAAGACCAAAGACTAGACTAAGTCTAAGCACTAAAAACATGCATAAGAAGTTTAGACAAAGTTTTCAAGGAAAGAGTAGACCAGAGATGGAAGTCTACAAAGAAGAGTAGAGACAATCTACATGAAGTGTCGGACATTTGGCAAGAGTAGACAGAATCTACATGAAGCACCAGATGCACTCGAAATGTAGTCTAAGTCAAGAGAAGCACTAGACAAGGACTAGCAAACGAAGTCAAGAGAAGCACTACATGAAGACATGCACGAAGCGTCAGAAGAAGTCTAAATGCAAGCGAAGAGAACAAACGCTTCTCAAAGAGTAGACAAAGCTTGGTACAAGACACAAGTAGACAAAGCTAACACATGAATATTACAAGACACAATCGTAATGCAAAGAACATCTAAAAGTCATGCAAGTTTAGTGACATCCCGAAGATGACTTTGACACAACATTTTTCTAAATTTGGTACTGTGAGAAACACGGAAGAGAATGTGATAAAGGTGTTCCATGCTAATCATGTTGAGTATAACAACAAATGTTATCAGAAAAAGGTCAACCATGTTCTGTAAAATACTGACACAAAAGACAAGAAAAGCATGCAAGTTACTACGGTCCTTTTTACGACATCTGTAAATAGAAATGAAACTGTGTAAAAACAATTAATGCTCTATACACAATATACACGAAACATTGCTTGAAAAGAGATTCACAAGCTTCTAGTGCTAAGTTTAAAGATAGTTTGCTAAATGACTTAGAGAAAGGGCTAAACTTGTAAATCCTTTTGTATTTCCAAGAGTAGCATAGTGTACTGGTTCTTTATCTAATGGGAAGATAAAGGGTTACTTAGGAGTGACTGAGTTAGAAGTAATAGTGAATACTTGAAACCTTTACTATATAGTGGAATCTTTTACAGTTGGTAAGGAGTATTAGACGTGGCCCAAGGTGAATAAGTATAAAACATAGTGTTTATTTTCTATTACTCGTGTACAAGCCCTCCTTTGTGAAAATATTTCTGAAGATATTCCAAAACTATTAGCCAACACCTGATTGGTGTCTAATAGATATCGTGTTGTGCAAAGTTCTTCGAAGTGTTTTTCAAGTTCCATTCAACCCTCTTTCAAACTATTTATTTCATTGAGAATAAGCTCTATTGTACACATTCTCTTCTATTGGTTTAAATTTATTAGAAATTCATATATTTTGTGTGTTCCACATCTTATTCATGAACTATCGATAATTGTATAGTTTTAACCCAGGACCAGTAGAAAGTGTGTTAGAGTGTGTGGCTGCTGGTACTGGCACTCCTCTTTTAAATTATAACTAATGCAGTGCAATAAGTTGAAATGTGAGGGCTATTGAACCATGTACAGAAAACGAGGGAAAAGTAGAACAGGTCTGTCAGTAGAGAGATAAGAAGCAAAAAATGGAAGGAGAACGGAAATATAATGAAGTCAAAGAGTGCAGATATCCCATGGAAGAGCTAGATGCCAAACAGACTAGACAGCTGGCGGTAGACTTAGGGGGGAGAGAAATAGAGAATCATAAGGATAATGATGAGAGAAATCAAAGGGGGAAGGGCCAGAAGGACAAATACGCTTTAGTCCTTAGCATCTATTCCTTTTCTACTTTCTTCTTTTCATTTTCAGTTTACTCCATTCCTCTGTGATTGATTTTGATATAGTTTGGGACAGTTTACTATTTCTACTTTGAATTTCTGGTTTTCAAGAGAAATATTTTGCAATGAAAGGTGCTAAGCTGCATTTCTTCTAGAGTTTTTGATAGGATCTAAGGTAAGAGGATAGAAGAAAGAGGAAATAAGAGAGCAGTTAAGAAAGGCGGGAAAATGAGAGAGCAGTTAGGAAAGGCGGGATGAGAGATCTTATATAGATAGAGTTCTATTCATTGTTAGAGAGGAGTTTTTGAGTATTATTTTATAAATATGGACTTTGGCCAGAAGAGGGGGATTATGCCTCCGTTAGGGCTAAGAGGGGGATTAGACCTCGTTAGGGTTAAGAGGGGGATTAGGCCTCCATTAGCGCTATAGTGTACTTTGTTCTCAATATCAATACAGAAACTCATTCTTTCATTGTTCTTTCTATCTTTTGAGTGTGTTCTTGTTAGGTTCCAAACCCAGGTACCTAACAAATTGGTCCAACCTGTCGGATCTATATCAGAGGAGAAAACGGAGCGCGTGTGAAGAAGAATGGAGGGACGATTGAAGGCGATTGAGTCGACGATGGAGGAATCAAAAGTGGAGGTGCGAGCGATGACTCTCGCGTTCCAACAAGCTTCAGGACATCACACCAGGAACCAGCCTAGGAGCTCCGAAGGAAGTGGTGATTCCATCAATGCGGGACGCGAACGACGACTATATGAAAACTCGAAGGAGGAATCGGAAGAAGACAGAGGAGAAGTTCGACGCAGTTGGAGGAAGCACGTTGAACTACCTACATTTGATGGCACGGATCCCACTGGCTGGATCGCACAGGAAGAGGAATTCTTCGAGTTACAAGGGGTATCGTAGGAGGAAAAGGTGCGCCTAACCGACATCAGGATGGAGGGGAGCGCTGGCTACTGGTTCAGAGCCTGGAAGGGGAAAGCCAAGAATCGTTCATGGGATGGTTTGAAGGAAGCCCTGGTGATAAGGTTTGGAACCATTGTCGAGCGTTTGGCAGCATTGAAACAGACAGGGACAGTGGACGAGTATGTACAATACTTCAAAATATTGGCGGGTTGAACGAGGAGGATGCCGGACGAGCAGCTGTTAGGATATTTTCTTGCGGGATTGCAAGAGGACATCCAGAATCAAGTCCGACCGTATAACCCGAAGGAATTAATGGTGGCGATGTGGATCGCAAGGGATATTGAGGAGTTTCAGGGAGGCGCAAAGGTGGGGAACGGGAGCGGGATTGAAGACCAGTCGTCTTGGGGACGAACGAGCGCAGAGGTGACACTGTCTGAGGCCAATCATTATAACCCAAGCCGATCGAGGGTTGCTGAGCGGTCCGAGGCAATGCGCTATAGCCCAGGCCGATTGGGAGCCGCCGAGAATGTGGGGTTAGTACTGAACACCCGGAAACTGCCTTACTCAGAATTCCTGAAACGGAGAGAGCAAGGAAGAAGGTGTTTCAGGGGACCATTCGGTCCAGGCAACTATTGCCCAGAAAGGAGTCTACGGATGGTTAGGTTGGCGGAGGATGAAGAGGAGGAGACTGAAGGAGCTAAGACAGAATTAGACTTGAAGCAGACGGAGTTGTCCACAATTGAAGATCTTACAGCAACTCTGCCAAGGGTTGTTAACACGAGCCGAACGGTTGAAGGCAAGGGGGAGGAGCCAAACGGTATAAAGATAGGGGGAAGAAAGCCGAACGGTGTAAAGATAGGGGAAAGAGAGCTGAACGGTATAAAGATAGTGGGAAGAGAGTTGAACGGTATAAAGATAGTGGGAAGAAACCCAAACGGTATAAAGATAGTGGGAAGAGAGCCGAACGTTAGAAGAAGTTATTTTTCAGGGAAGAATAAGAAGCTCCTTACCTTCAAGGAAATAATCCAAACACGAAAATGGTCCCATAAGTTCTGTCTCTCATTTCGACCACTACCCAAGCCTCTAGACAGGAAGTTGTAGGTAGTAGCAGGTAGTAGCCAGAGGGTTCCCTTCCTATGATAAGACCATATCACAATGCTATGGGCTCAAACTTCATTGTTGCAACCTTGAGGACAAGGTTGTTTTGCAGTAGGGTGTAATGATAGGATCTAAGGTAAGAGGATAGAAGGAAGAGGAAATGAGAGAGCAGTTAAGAAAGGCGGGAAAATGAGAGCGCAGTTAGGAAAGGCGGGATGGGAGATCTTATATAAATAGAGTTCTATTCATTGTTAGAGGGGAGTTTTTGAGTATTATTTTGTAAATCTGGACTTTGGCCAAAAGAGGGGGATTATGCTTCCGTTAGGGCTAAGTGGGGCATTAGGCCTCCATTAGCGCTATCAATGTACTTTGTTCTCAATATCAATACAAAAACACATTCTTTCATTGTTCTTTCTATCTTCTAAGTATGTTCTTGTTAGGTTCCAAACCCAGGTACCTAACATTTTTGGTTGACTACTATCGTGAATTTTAGTTTCTATCAAAAAGCCTCAATGATAAATTGTTTCCAAAGATGTGGATGCATTACCATTAAATCCAGTTAATATGGTAAAAAAATGCGGAGGATTTCAAGTATAGAACAATTTAGTACTCATGGTAAATTACACAATGCAATTTCAATAGAGCTTTGACTTTTGCAGAACATGCAGAAGAACTCCGAATATGTTGCAGGCAATTTTCATCTAGCAATAAAAAATGAGTACCAGGCATGTCAGCTTATCAGTAATCATACACGACACAGTACGGTCATTACCTTTAATTTCTTAGTCACCAATGGATTATCCAAGAAAAACTTAAATATACTCACACGTTATTGAATAGGTATGCTTTTCCCCTCCGGCAATGAAACGACTGAAAGAAGGGTCACAGAAGATTAATATGAGAAGTAATTTAAGAATCCATGAAAGCAGTTGGAAACTTAGAGCATTATATTGGCAAAAACCAAGCAAAAACAGATGTACAGACATTATGCATTACTTTAGAAGTAATACATTTAGCTTGTTATCTTTTCCCAAATCTCAAACTATATGTGAGGTATATATTTAATTGAATGAAACATGATTTTATGAATATCATGGAAAGACACCACCACAGAATAAGAAGGATACAAGGTATCAAAAGCAATCAGGCAAGAGAGCAGTCCAAATTTACAAGGGCATATTGTGAGTTCCCCCTAAAACTTGGTACATGAACCTCTACTGTATATTCCTTGGATAAATAGTTTCTGAACTCATCATTCAGACAGATTTGGCCCCCTTGAGTATTTTACAAAGTACATCATTAATGGAAGAACTACCCGTTTCATCACAGTTCAACTATTTGCAAAGCACAAGGATTGAACTGAATAATATCAAGGACTCATACAGCAAAGCGCATATTATCCATCAGGATTTGTTGCCAACGTATCCATCTGAAATTCTTTTCCAGTAAGAATAGATGAGCAACTATGCGATCCACACTCAATCCAAAGGCTATTTATTGGCCTTTTTCATTAATCAGATGAGCCAGTGTATAATTTTGACCTTTTTTTTTAATTCTTCAGTGGATGTAGCAGGTGATGCAAAACGGGAATGCTTACAGGGGATAAGTATAATAGCAAAGAGTATTCATAAAGGGTACATAAGGCTAAGATCCAAAACTACGGTAATTCTCTAGAAAACCTGAGTTCAGAAAAAAGCACAAACTTTGCATTCAGATAGAGTAAGAAACACAACAATAAGCCAAGAACAAAACACAAAAAATTCCAATAAACATCCCCCACCCCAAAATTCGTTGCTGACCCGGATTTCAAAATTGCATAAACCATCTCAAATTTAACTAACAAATCTACCAACACAATATTCATATATTAACAATAACCTAACTCAATTCAGATACTCTGATCCAGCTTCAATCATGGTACAACCTACGATTACAGTTCAATGGGGCAAGTTGTGTTCATATTCCACATATGAAAACGTCCATAAAATGATTAACTGTGTCTGAAAATTGAATATGCCCTAAAGGGTAGTGTTCTTCATTCACAAACAGATTCAGAAATATAATCAAAGCAAGCATAAGGTTTGGTAAAGTACCCTTGAAATGAGATCATCTGCAAGGGCCAAGTGAGTACTACAAAACTTGCATCTATAAGACCTTCCCTCAAGCTCCATCACAAAGAATCTACCCATATTCTTTCTGCTTTCTCTGTTGTTTTCTTGTGTCACCACCGTCACTTGCTTCTATTGCTCATAGCGGTTCATGGGAACAGAAACGACAATACAAGTGCCTCTTTCTCTGGAAACTTGCTCTTCAAAGGGACACGTGTTGGTCTAGAAAATAAATTAAAAATAAAAATATTAATATTAATATTATTTTTTCTGAATTAATTAATATCTCTTATAGTTAATAGGTGTCTATTACGACCACCGTACACGCAAGTTTTAGTTTTCAGTATTCTGACTCCAAATTTGTTACCAATTGGTTGATGAAAGTTACTGATAAATAATTAAATAATAGGTCATTATATTATACTAATGATATATTTAACATCGATGAGTAAGTTTCCATTCAAAATTTTAAAATCGTAGTTTTTTTTAATCAATTTTCTTATTTTTATTAAACGTGAGAATTTTCTATACTTGAATTTATAATAATTTTATATAATTTTGAGAAATATACAAACAACAACTTCTTCGTCTTATAATAAATAAAATTATTTTAAGTAAATAAATGCGATTGGTAAAGAAAGAATTGGTCCTTTAATGTGATTAGTCTTGACAATAACTTATGATTAACTTTGTGTTGTGGCAATCTTTTACTAACCATGATGATGATGTTACATTTGGTTATTGAAAGTAATTCTTTGACATAATCCACGGTTTTGAATGTTTCTCCCTTCTCAACGTTGAATTTTCTGTTTTCTATTCCTCTCAAATTAAAAATTATTATTTTTACACATGATATTACATTACTTTAATTTATTTATTTTATATGTTGAATAAAAAAATATAATTTCAAGTATCATCTAGTATCTTAATCTAGTAGTATAAATATTAGAAAACAAGATACTATCTTATTGTCTATACCTCCTTTAAGGACACATATGCATAGTGTTATTTTTAAATGTGAGATTTTTGTCATTTTCAAAATGTGGATTTATCATACTAACGCAACCTACTCATCTCTCCTTTTGTGACACATTTACATAATGTTCTTTTTTTTCCTTCCGTAAATGTTCATCTACGTTTACTTTTATGATATTTATCCACAATTTGGCTTTTTGGTCTTTTACATGCGCATAATTTTTTTCTTTATTCTAGTTTGTTTGCTTTCCTGCAAACACTATTTTGTTAAAAAGAGAAATGATGGAGGTGAAAGACATCCTGGAGCAGGAATTTTAAATTGAGTTATTTGGTTGTTGGCTAACGAATGGGTTTGCTTTCTGCTTAAATCCATCTTCTCTACCACTTGTTTGTACTCGGTGAACTACAAAATTTAGAGAATGTGAGTTTATCCATACAGAATAAATAAATCTAGCAATATATAGATGAAATAATTATATGAATCTAATAACTAATAAATAAATTTAATATATTAGATGAATTTGTTCACCAACAAAATATATGTTTATTAATACACGTTAAACGAGTTTGTTTACTAAGTATAATAAAAATATTAGATAAATCATTTCATATATTAATTAGACAAGTTAAAAAATACATATTAAATAAATACATATTAAATATGTATGTTCAACATTAATTAAATAAGTCTAGCAACCACATACATTAATTAGACAAATCTATGAAATATAAATTAGATGAATATATAAATACACATTAGACAAAATTGTACATATATTTATTAAATAAGTCTATCAATACACATTAAGTTACATATATATGTCTTGTACATCGAATCAAGACCAGGGTACGCGTTTAGAACCACTTATCAACAAAAAAACCTAAAAGAACACCTAAACGACACATGCAATAGAGCCAACATCACATGCATTTGAAAACGTGAAACTAGAGAAAAGAGTAGAAACTAAATTACTCTTTTGAAATAACTAATAGGATGAAAATGAAGACCTTACCATGATCATTTAGGACCTTCATGATTAAAGAATATAAATAACCCAACAGTTAGAAGATAAGAAAAGATAGTAGAGAACTATTAAAAAAAGAGTTTTAAAGAAATTGTGTGTCTTGAATAACGAGACTTGATAGTTAAAATTCTATTTATACTTCAAGCTTTTTAATAGTAAAATAATTTAATCTCTCCGTTTAAAACACATTATCAACACTAAAACTCTATTTTCCAAACTCTAACAAATATTTCTTTATAATATTTTCTTAATTATTTTATTGTTTTTTCAACAATAAAACACAAATTTATTAATTTTCCCCAAGTCGTAAGTTTTGTTCCATTTCTAAAATGAAAAAAAGAGTAAAATACAAATTTATTATTTATTATTTATTTTTTTCTCATCTGTTTTATTTTATTTTTGAAAAAATAAAATAAAAAAAAATTATTTTGATTCACTTACCAATAAAATATAATTTGATAATACGATATTTTTCAGGTACATGAGTTGTTATTGTTTCTCATATAATTTTTTTTTTCTATTTCTGAAAAATATTTGAAATGATTTCTGAAATACTTATATTCTCCTGAGCGATTCTAGAGCCAGGTTAATATAGAAAAAAATTCTAAAGAAATAATAACTTAAAGTAAATTTATAAAATAATAATTTTAATTTTAAAAAAGTATTTATTTAAAAAAGTGGAGAAGCTTTGTGACTTGAAAGACTTACCATCTGGCTGCATATGGGTAAAATGCTGGTATACAAAAGTGGTAAAATCAAGCTCTAGGCAATACCCTTTATGATGTTTCTTCGGGTATGAATTGTGCCTTTTCCCAATTTGTCAATACTTGACAATTTGTCTGATTTGTGACAAATTTAAATCATTTTTTTGTTTTCAGATACTTTACATTTTACCAAAAGAAGGATAGTTTCCATTTACAAAAAAAGGATAGTTTACATTTTTACATATAGTTATGAATTCGTTGAAATGATGTCATAAACAGTGAACTGAAAAAAAAAAAGAAATTCTATAATAAAAAATGAAAAAAAAAATCTCTGTTTCTGGGCTTTAGGTTATATGAACCTAAAAAATCTCTATTTCTTTTACACAACTTCCTATTGCTTTCAAAGACACTGTTTCCTCTCTTCGTCAAACAAACCGTATACTTTGGGATCAGCATTACACTCTTATGTATTCAGAGCCTTCTCCACAAAGAGCACCACCCAGTCTTGTTCCAAAGAAAGAAATTAAAACCCAAGTGGTTGAGAATGTTGAGCTGATGCGAACCAGGCTAAGGATCTACTACAGCGTTTAAATGACAGTGCTTTGAAGGCAAGGAACAAACCTACATTTGTGTTCTATAATTAAGAAAGCAAAAATCGTAGAAGTGAGTAGAAGAAGTTTAAGATGACAAAAACGTGGAAAGGACAAGAGACTAATATCCATTGACCATCTTTACGTACCTCTTTTCCCATCATCGAGAATTGTCTCAAGTTTCGGTTTTTACGTGCTAGCTGGGATTGCTCAGATTCGAATCTGAGAATGTTCATCTCTCAGAGCATGTGAGTGGTATGTCACCTGCTGAATTGGCTCGAATCCAACTACAGATGATGTCTAATCCAGAGCATATGTGAGATGGCCTCGGAGAGCATGAAGAACATGAGTTCTGAAAACTTTAAACTTGCTACTAGCAGTTGAAGTATACTCATTCATAAGAAATGGTTGAGATTGATGAAAATATGGCCAACGCCTCAATCTCAGCCATTTCTTCTTAACGAATGTGCTTCGTCTGCAAGCAGCAAGTTTAAAGTTTTTAGAATGTTCTTCGACCATCTCATCAGCTCTGGATTAGACATCATCCGTTGTTGAATTTGAGCCAACTCAGCTGGTAAGATGCCACTCATACTCAGCAATTCTAAAGCCAGATTTTTATAGAAAATTTTTTCTAAAGAAATAACTTAAAGTAAATTTGTAAAATAATTATTTTAATTTTAAAAATGTATTTATTTAAAAAGTAAAATTGGAAAAGTAATGTCAACACAAAAAAGAAATATATATATATATATATATATATATATATATATATATATATATTAAATATATTAAATATATTATTTTACTTTTCAAAATTATTTATCATGATTCGGTGACTCTTGGGTATGTTAACGTATGTTTCAGAGTTTTGCATGTCTGAATATTATGGAATTATATAACCCATGCCTCTTGTAATACCTTATGTGATACAAAATTCTAATTTAATTTTCTGATAACTATCTCGTATTGACTCTATTATTATTTTCAAAAAGAAATATTTATTTCTCTATTTTAACACACTTATGGTTGTAATTTATGCCAAAAAAGCAGAAAAGTCTTACCTAGTTTCTTATATTTAAGAACAACTTGGATAATAAAAGTTGTGGACTTTGTACACAAGTTGTGGGTCTTAATTATTTTTATATGCGAAAATGTTTTACCTTAATTAATATATTATATTGATGGCAGTTTATAAACATTTTTATAATTTCTATAAGAATTATGAAATTATGAAACTGTAACATCACAATATTTAAAATGTGATAATCAATAATAATGTTAAAGAACTTGAAAGTTAGAATATGCTAAAAAGAGATGTGAACCACTTAATCAAGCCCTAAATTATTTAGAAGTTTATGTTAATATTAATTTTTGTAGTCTTTTATTTCTCTCATTACTTTTTTAAGATAAAAATTGTGATATAAAGTTGAGGTAAAAAATATAATAATTAATTATTTGTTTTCTTTGAGCTTTTAAATATATAGTTGGTATATTCTTTTTATTATTTGAATCAAATATGCATTTTTAATCCTATTTTTGTGGACAGTTTTGAATTACCCTTGTACTTAGTAAACAATGAAAATAAAAACTAATTAAACATTGAATAGACAAAATACACCCAATTTGATACTGGCAATTCTTAAAATAAATAACAATTAAAAAGTTATTATCGTCGATTTTAGAAGCACAAGAGTATTTAGATTATACTTTTATATTAAATAATTAAATAATAGTGTCAGTCTATCATATCAAAGCTTAATTTAAATAAAATATAATAAAGTGTTGCTTGGTTTATTTAACGCAAAAAAAAATTCTTAAATTGTTGTTGATTAAATTAATGTTATCAAGATGGTATATAGTCGACACTTATTAATAGGAAAAATAAATAAATAA